CACGCAGCCCAAACTTTAAATTTCCTGAACACGCAGCCCAGATTGGTAGTGAACACGCAGCCCACACTGATTGAGAGTTGGGAAAGGCTACAACTCATTCAAAAAGGATACACTTTGATTTTGATGAATGATGATGAGACACATGTCAGATCTTGAAGCTGAAGTTCCGGCGGAGCAATTTCGCGACCGGAAGTGTACTTTTCTTGAACTTTTTCAGGTCCCGGGAACTCCAATCTTCCTCAAAATTTGCAGGGAGCTAGGTGAGCCTGTGAGGGACATGGCCGGCCAGTTTTATGAGGGATAGGAGGTGGCCGGCTGGTTTTACAAAAAGTGAATGGCTGGCCGGCCGGTTTTCCAAAAAGGAAATGGCCGGCCGGCTGGAAAAGGTGGCCGGCCGGCTATATGACCAAATCCGAGGGCATTTTGATCCTTTCACCTCCTTTCTTTATGCTCCTTCATCCCAAGACTTGGAGCCTGTAAATGCAGCCGAGATCTTCTCTTCTCCTGCCTCCTACACCACTTTCTTCTCCAGATCTGAGTTCCATACGCGTTTTCCAACGCCCCACGCAAGTTGTTTCCGCAAAAATATTCAGTTTCAAGCACTTTGAACTGATTAAATTTTGGTTTCGGAACTTCTTTTCTCATTTCCACCACTTGAGGTAAGTTTGTCTCAATATTTGGAAGATTTTCTCGGGAGTTGACTTTTGTTGACTTTTTTCCAATTTTGGCTCATTTTCGCTCATTTTTTGCTCCTTTTGCAGATTTTCTGAAAATGACGGGTAATTCTCCGCATGGTGGGGGCTTTCCGGGTGCTGGGGACGATTTTGATCCCATGACTTTGCCTCCGAGGGTCCGACCTTTTATTCCCGGGAGGTACGCTCCGCCAGCACATGTCCTTCCGCGTGCCGTTTTCCGCCATTTCACTGATTTTGATGAGCGAGCACCTGGGGACCTGCTTCTCCGAGAGCCAGAGCACCACCTCTCCCATGAGGCCCGAGAGGTATTTATTTCATTTTTCGCATTTTTCGTACATTTCGTGTCTTTGCCATGCTTGAACACACAGTTTAGCTTATGACATAGTACTTTATTTGCATCTTGAATCTGTAACTTAAACACTTGAATTTATGAACACTCGGCTCATTAATTGATTGCGAACACACGACACACATTAGTTAAGAGGTGAACACGCGGCTCAAACACTGATTTGTCGAACACACAGCCCGAATTCGAAAGTGAACACACAGCCCACACTTTAAATTTTCTGAACACACAGCCCAGATTAGAATAGTGAACACGCAGCCCACACTGATTGAAAGTTGAACACGCAGCCCAAACTTTAAATTTTCTGAACACGCAGCCCAGATTAGAATAGTGAACACGCAGCCCACACTGATTGAAAGTTGAACACACAGCCCAAACTTAAATTTCCTGAACACGCAGCCCAGATTGGTAGTGAACACGCAGCCCACACTTAAATTTCCTGAACACACAGCCCAGATTTATAGCGAACATGCAGCCCACACTGATTGAAAGTTGAACACGCAGCCCAAACTTAAATTTCCTGAACACGCAGCCCAGATCGATAGTGAACACGTAGCCCACACTGATTGAAAGTTGAACACGCAGCCCAAACTTAAATTTCCTGAACACGCAGCCCAGATTGGTAGTGAACACGCAGCCCACACTGATTGAAAGTTGAACACGCAGCCCAAAATAATATTTCCCGAACACGCAGCCCAGATTGGTAGTGAACACGCAGTCCACACTTAAATTTCCTGAACACGCAGCCCAGATTGGTAGTGAACACGCAGCCCACACTGATTGAAAGTTGAACACGCAGCCCAAACTTAAATTTCCTGAACACGCAGCCCAGATTGGTAGTGAACACGCAGCCCACACTGATTGAAAGTTGAACACGCAGCCCAAACTTTTAATTTTCACGCAGTTTATACATCACACTTTGAACACACAGCTCATCCATTTCATTGGCACACAGCTCATTCATTTGATATTGACACATGTATTCATTCTGAATGCAGGTTGGTTCTCGTAGTGTGCGGGGGTATGGTTCCACCGCCGCGCGGGACTGGTACGCTGAGCTCCCGGAGGGTGTCCGAGATTTGGTAGACTTGGCAGGATTCGGGGGCTTTCTGCGTTGGGTTGTCCCATTGCTCTGCCAGGAGGACTCTGATAGCAGCCTTGGTAGAGAGATGGTGGGACACCACCAACTCCTTTCATTTCTCTGCTACCGGGGACATGACCATGACACCTCTAGACTTCGCTGTGTTGACCGGCCTAGACATAGGAGGTTGGTCCATCCCCTATGACGAGGACATGGGCGAGTGGGAGGCCGCTTGGACATATCTGCTGGGGGCTCGCCTGCCTGTTGACAAGGTTTCTGGGAGAGTCCGATATACTTGGTTCTCTTCCCATTTCCGGCGGGCGGAGATGGTGCCCGAGACTCCTGAGGAGACGGAGCAGTACGCCCGTGGTTTCCTTATGTTCCTCTTCGGGACTACCCTGTTCGCCGATAGAGGGAACACAGTCGGGCTATATCTGTTGAGCGCTCTGGTTGACCTATCACAGGTCAGTCGATATGACTGGGGTGGCGCCGGCCTGGCTACCCTTTACTTTTATATGAGCGCCACTTCCCGCGGGCGGGGAGACTTACTTGGCGGTTACTGGCGAGCCTGTGAGGTACTTTTCTGTCCCCTTGATTTACATTTCTGCTCTCCATTACTTGTACATTGCACAAACAACGCACTTTACCGTCTGTATTTTGCTCTCAGCACTTTGTACTTACATTCTGCACTGCTTTTCTCAGCTATGGGTCTATGTATACTTCCCAGCATTAGCCCTAGAGTTGGAGGTGGCAGGACCCCCCATGACCCCATATTCACTGGTGTTCGAAGGCCCGCACCGGCCGAGACCCCGAGAGACCCTCATTTATCTGCGACAGTATTTTGACACTGTGCGCCCATCGGAGGTACTTCAGAACCCTCAGTTCTTCCCATTTTTATCTCTGATTTGCCTTGCACGTTCCTGATTTCTGATTGGTTTATTCACTTGTTATTCGCAGATTACATGGCAGCCTTGGGCACCCTTGGGCGATGGTCTTCGATTTCAGTATCCCGGAGGATCGGGCACCTCCCAGTACAGGTTTCTGCTCGAAGGACCTGTTGGCAGAGCATGGTTTCTGGGGGAACGTTTTTTGCGTCAGGTATGGGGGTATCTTTCTCAGGATCCTCCCGCAGTACCCCCAGTCAGTATGCGGATTGCTGACAGGCTTTCTTTCTCGGAGGTAGTCGGCGCTATGCTGGGTAGCGATGCTTTATTATATCTCGAGGAGGGGGATTACGACACTTACCGTCATACATATTTGATGCCTCCACTGACGGGGGCTCGCACTCCGATGGCGAGGTCTGCTGGTACGTCATCTTCGAGTCAGGCCCGGGCTCGAGCTGTAGACGCTCCTTCCACCAACGGGGCTGGTACATCTAGAGGTAGGGGTAGACCGGTTCCTCCGATTACTCCGACTTATCCTCATCTTGGATGGCCGGACATGCCGTCCTAGTTGACGGGATGGCGTTTTGGGACTCCTTACCAGATTCCGCTAGAGCCTCCACTTCCTGACCATAGATATGTCAAGGATCCTGATTCACCACCGGTATGATTTATAGCTTTGATTTATTAGTCGAGTACTTAGACATTCATTCCTTTACTGATAGTTTTGCCTTTGTATCTGCAGCCTCCGGCTGAGTATGTGGACGAGATTCTCGGGGTGATGGCCGCACTTGAGGGCATGGTTCTTCGGAGAGAGACACACCTATCTGTTATGGGTGTGCAGGTACCGTTCATTTTTCTTGCATTTATCACACTTCTGATGACACACTGGTTTTGAGCATTCTTCTGTATTGTAGAGCATATCCGGCACACACCCTACTCATATACTGTACTCGTATCTGATTTTCATATTTGAACTGATGTATTGAACTTTTCATTTTCAGATGCCTCCTGTATATGCTCCGCCGCGAGCCGGGCCACCTGGGCCTCCTTGGGGAGCTGGGCCATCTGGGCCTTTTTACGGAGCTGGGCCAGCTAGGCCTTCTCAGGGAGCTGGGCCATCCAGGCCTTTTCAAGGTGCTGGGCTATCCAGGCCTTTTCGAGGAGCTCGAGGAGGGTCCTCCCGCAGACGTAGGGCACGCGTTGTAGAGGCGGAGCCCGAGGAGGAGGAGGAGGAGGAGGGGGATCATCTGCCGAAGAGGGGGGCTCCGGTCTTGGTTCAGGGAACAGAGGCGAGGCTGAGGGGGATTCTGAGGATGACAGCTCCGACCCGGATGATGATGATAGTGCAGAGGTTGTCCCGCAGAAAAGGTTGAGGAGTGCTTCTCGTTCCCGCTCCCGAGGACATTGATGCTGTTATTTCCTGCTTTATTTTTCTTTTTGCTAGTAGTTTGTAGCACTTTGCACATTTGTTAGGTAGTTTTATTTTTTGTAAAACTTGTACCTTTGTTCGTTGTAAAACATGATGGAATGAAACAGCTTTCGAAAAGGTGCTTGTACTTTAAACTTTTAGCATCGTATCGCATCATTTTATTTTGCACAAAAATGAAATTGAATGGGAATGTGCATTGTGTAATCACCAAGTCAGGTAGTGAACCGACGCAACAAACTAAGCAACTCAACTTACTAAGATATAACAGAACCTCAGGAAGTTTACAACTCGATAAGCAAAAACAACAGTGTTGACAACATAAATAAACAAGACTTAAACAAAGATTGTTTAAACAGAGAGCAATGACTCGAAAACACGAAATACGTCCCCTCGACAAACAACTCGATAAGCAAAACAACAACTCGATAATCAAAACAATAACTCGATAATCAAAACAACAACAACAGAGTGTACTTCGGACGATCTGGGCACTGGAACGCATCCGAAACAGAGGGAAATGAAGGCCTTTGACTCTCCCGTTGCATGGAAATGCTTGAAACTTTCCCTCGAAGGGTAAAACAGGGCCAAGGAGATACACTGGAGCATTGCCGGCCACCTTTGGGAGCCGGCCGGCCAGTTTTATGGAGAGCGAGAGCCGGCCGGCCAGTTTTTGAAAAAGAGAATGGCCGGCCAGCCAGAAAATGTGGCCGGCCGGCCACTTATTCCTGCAGCCACCTAGTTTTTTGACACGTGTCCGCGTGAATAGTGTTTTTCCCTCTATAAAAGCCTCAACTTCGGGAACATTCATTTCATCACTGTTTTAGACAAAGATGGAGGCATTTCTCGCGGAAAATCTCATATCTTGGATCTCTTCTTTGGATGGCTCGGAAAAGCTGAACTTCCGGGGTTTCGGCTTGAATGCACTATTCACGCTAAGCCGTACTCCGCTACATCTCCCTTTTCTCCATGCCGCGGCAAGGTTCT